TATTCTATTATCCTTTCAAAGTATCTTTTATAATGTGCTTTGCTAGGAAAGGTGATAATATCAGGGATAAAAAGTTGATGAAAGACTCACCGCCTTCTGAAGTTTAAAGTCTACCAGAGCGATAGACATAAAGTAAATTATCAAATTAATTGTGAGATGATATACTGAGGAGTATGATTATACTGCTTCTAAGTGCTTTCGTGTAAAAACATATATGTTAGAGAACATAGCTCTTTTGTGAGACTAATCACAAATATTTTTCCCAGGCTTGTTATCTGCTTATTGCCTTTGCTTATGATATATATTTAGGCTTTGGAGTATGCAAGAGTTTTTTATTTTAAGTTGCGGATTTATCATCTTTTATGATTTCTGAGTCATATTTAGAAAGGCCTACCACTCCCACATTATAATAAAATGCATTCATATTTTCTCAAGTAATTCAGTGTTTTAATTTTTGTATGTTTTAAATTCATTTAGAGTTTATTTTGGTGTTGTGTATGGTATAGATCAACATTTTATGTCTTTCCTTATGGCTGTCTAGTTGTTTCAATAATATTTTTTAAAAAATGCCCATTTGCTTGTTGGATCTACTTTTGTGTCCTTCAGGCATGTTTTAGCCCTAGTTCTACAGTTAAACATATTCAATGCTCACGGCAAGTTTTTAGTTTTCTTTTTTGCCAAAATTTCTCCAATAACCTGTTGACTGGATGAACATTATTCTCTAGTAAATTACTCAGTAAAGAGCTTGCCTTAGTCCATTTTGTGTTGCTGTAGCAGCATACCTGACACTGGGTAATTTATAATAAACAGGAATTTATTGGCTCACAGTTCTGGAGGCTGGGAAGTCTGAGACTATGGCACAAGCAACCGGCAAGGGCCTTTTTGCTACATCCTCACATAGTGGAAGGCAGATAGGCATGAACCCTCATTACCTAAACACCTCCCATTAGGCCCCGCCTTTCAGAACTCATTAGGCCCCGCCTTTCAGAACTCACATTGGGAATTACATTTCCAACGCATAGATTCTGAGGGTCGCATTCAAACCATAGAAGGGCTCATGAAGCAACAAGATTTACCTAGTTACTACATATTCAAAGGTTTTATTTTCTGTAGCCTTTATACTTTGAATAACAGATTGGCTGGACATAAAATCCTTGGCTCATGCTATCTTTTCTTTAATGGGTGTCTTGTAGGTTCTTCTCTGTAATCTGCATGTGAATGTTGCTGTTGAGAAGCCTGATGACAATCTAATTTTTTCTCTTATAAATGACTAGGTCTGTTTGCATGACTGACTAAAAAGTTTATTTCTTCATATTTTAAGTACCATAACATGGTTTGGTGATTACTATTGCAGGTAATTCTCTCAGGTAAAAGTGTGACCCTTCAATATGTAGAGTTGTATCTTTGATTTCAAAACATCTTTTTCTTTAATTATTATTTAAAGTATTTACTCCTTTATATTTGTTTTTTCTTCTTTTGGCATGTGAATTATATATATGTTGGACCTCCTTTGCCTGTCTTCCACATTGATCACTTTTGCTTTAATTATTTTTTCCACAAATTTTTTTATTGTGGTGAAATACACATACAATTTACCATCTTAACTATTATTAAATGTACAGTTCTGAGATAATAAGTACATCATATTGTGTAAAAACTCTCTCTAATTCTTTTTTATCTGTCTTTTTTTCATTTCAGTTTCCATGGACTTTTAAAATTTCTTTTCTCTAGGACACGGACATGTGTTTTGTGGGGTACAGGCTCCCCTATGCACTCCTTGTATTTTAGTCTTAATTCCTGAGATGATTATGTCACTTCTCTTTCATATCCTCCTATCGTCTAGCTAAATTCTTTTTTGAGGTCTTTTACTTCTATTTTGTGAATTTTTTTATTGTTAGACAATTAGGAAAATTATGTTGAAATATTTTTCCCCTCTGCCTATTGTAATCTTTTTTAATGAGTTTTTTTTGTTAATAAAATACAATTTTATGTCATATTTGAAAATGGAGCCTTTATTTGGATGTGGTAGCTTTGCCTTTTTATTATTCATATCTGAATGAGTTGTATTTTTCTGGCCCAGTTGCTACAGGAGTATCCAGTGGCATTGTGTTTGGAGGTGGGAAAGAATTAATATAGCCTCTCCTGTTTCTCAGGTCATTGGCTCCTCCACCTGTTGCACTTAATGGGTAGTTTATTGGATATACTGTGATACTATCTTTGTTCTTGTTGCACTCCCAGTCATTTCTGTCTATTTCCACCAGTTCTTATGCAATACCCTTTTCATTCATAGAGCTGTCCACAGCAGTGCTCCGCTAGGTGGTCCCTCACATTCTGGTGATGAATATCTGCTGCTGATTCCAGGTTCTGCTGATAACGGTCTCTTTTTCTCAGAGCACTGACCACTCCACCACCTCACCATTCATTATTATGGCTTCTTTGATTTGCTCTCCCCGACTCCATACTTACTTTCATATACCTAGAAATCTGTGGACATCTTTGTCTTCTTAAATTATATATATTTACAGCATACTACATGATGTTTTGGAACATGTATACATTGTGAATGATTAAATCAAGCTAATTAACATATCTATCACTATACATACTTGTTTTTTTGTGGTGAGAAGATTTAAGATCTACTCTCTTAGCAATTTTTAAGTATACAATATATTTGTATTAACTATAATCACCTTATGGTACTATGGATCTCCCAGACACATTCTTCCTTTGTAACTAAAACTGGATTTTTTTCATCTTCTAATTTTGCTGAAGGTGTAGGATTTTAAGATATTAATTCTCCTTGTATCTTTGTATGGTTATGAGAAAGATACATTGATTCCATTCTAAGCTACTGACATGCTCCTATATGGCCAGGAGACTACCTGATTATCTTAGATACTGTATTTGTTTTCTATTGCTGCATAACAAATGGTCAAAACTTAGCGGCTTAAAATAACATTTATTATTTTATAGTTTCCACGTGTCAGAAATCTGGACATGACTTATGTGCATCCTCTGCCTAAAGTCCTTACAGGGCTAAGTTAAGGTCTGTAGGGCTGCGTTCTCATCTGGAGGCTTGACTGGGGAAAAATCTGCTCCCAAGCTCATTCAGTTTGTTGGCATCATTTATTTCTTTATGGATGTGTGACTGAGGCCCCTGTTACCTTGTTAGATGCTTTCCTGGAATCACTCTTAGCTCCCAGAGGCCTCTCTCAGATCCACTCTGGGGCCCGCTTCATAGACCTTCTCACAACATGACAGATTATTGTTTCAAGCAGGATCATTTCTCTTTAGGAAAAGATAACTAGGCCAGGCATATGGCTCACATCATAATCCCAGCACTCTGGGAGGCCAAGGCAGGTGGATTGCTTGAGGTCAGGAGTTCAAGACCAGCCCGGGCAACGTGAAAAAATCCCCTCTCTACAAAAATACAAAAATTAGCCAGGCATAGTGACATACCTGTAATCTCAGCTATTTGGGAAGCTGAGGTGGGAGCACACATGCCTGGAAGGTTGAGGCTTCAGTGAGCTAAGATTGTACCACTGTACTCCAGCCTGGTAACAGAGCAAGACCCTATCTCAACACCACCACCAGCAAAAATAAATTAAAAAAGAAGAAAAAGGAAAGAAAAGAAAGTAAGGCAACTACACAACATATTATATCTGAATGACTTTGAGTTCCTAATTATTGTGATTAAAAATTTAAAGTGCTATTTTGTTTAATAATTCAATTTACATAACTTATACAAAGTAGCTGTTTATTCTAATTATTTTCATTAGCATTAACATATTAGCTATAACTTTTACCTGTGGAAGGAACACTTTCTCTAATTTTAATAGAAATACCACATGGGATAACAGTGGCCTTTCTTCAGACTTTCTGCCAGCTAATCCCTGTGTGTCCTCCGATTGCCAGCTGGGGACTGCAGCGTCCTACCCATTTTCCTTTCCCTTTGTGGGCTACCACTGCCCCTTTATCACCTGAGTTTCTTCTCTTCCGTGTCTGGTCTTCAGAGACATTCTCTTTAGTTCTCCCTAACTTGCTGTTCTAAAGATGAGCTTACAAACCACTTTTATTTTAAGGACTTATTCATGATGGCAAAACATCCAAAGTCATAAATAAAAATTTCAGACTCATAAGGTGGTGTCTGTCATTGTCACCAACTGTAGTTCCCGGTCCCCTTGCTAGACCTCTGAGGCCCTCACCCAAGATTCCCCACCCTATGGGAAATGGAGCTCACTCAGCATGTCTCCCTCATGCTGGAAGCCATGTGAGGCTGCGGGATCTAGGAGAGGTCTCCCAAGCTTTTGTTCCTGAAGTGTGCTTTGATCAGTGTATAGAACAGAGTGGATATACAAGTATCTTCTCAAGAGTGCATGGTGCTTTCCAAGACCTCTGGCCTGAGCATTCCCCCTCCAAGGGGCCGCAGCTCTGGTATCCCTAGTAGAGCCTGACTGAAAAGTCTTATGCATCAGCCTCTTCAGAGAAGGGATAGGGATTCTTGGAGATCAGAGTCGAGGATTGAGGGCAACTGTCAGGAATGGGTGAGGAGGGGAGAAACTTGGTTTGTTTCAGGGGAAGAGTCTGAAGTTGAGGTGGGTGGTGGATAAATGGGCATGGTAGCTACAGGGTCAGAATAAGTTATAGTGATGACACATTGCTAGCTGCCTCCTGGGAAAATGCCTTTCAATTTCCGTCCCTTCATCCTGCCCTGGCTGGTGACTCCAGTGGAACCTGGAGCAGATAGATCTTTATTGGTAGAAAGCTCCCAGATGTCAGGGACAGAACCCCCAGCACCCCAGGTCTACCAGGCATAAGGGCTGGGGATGAAGAAGGAACTCAGGGAGTGTTGGGCAATCTTGTCCTTTCCCAGGGAGGAGCTGCCTGGGCTTATTCACAGGGCGGGTCCCCAGGTGCTCTCAGTGTGTTCCCACTTAAGTTTCTCCAGGTGCTGTAAACGGAGCTGGCTTGGAGCCTCAGCCCTTTGCCTTCCTCTTCTCTTTCATCTTTTGTTAGGGATCCTGGGCTCTCCTCTTTTCTCTGAGAAGTCAGAGTCTAAGTGTTCCATTCCCAGGGATGGAGTGCCCTTAGGGCCAGGGAGAGTGAAGGCCGGAGGAGGCACCAGCTGGAGAAGGAGGGCAGGGCCTGGATGCCAAGTCTGGAAGGGAAGGAGCTGCTGGCCAATCAGGAGTGAGCCGACTGCACCCTGACCTGCTGGGCTGGGACAGCACAGGACCCACAGGTGTCTGTGAGTTGAGTGTAAGTGTGTTTCTTCTTCAGAAGCCCTCTTCCAGCAACAGGACTGAAGTCTATCAAGTTAAAATGTGTACATGGTGGGAAAAGTTCCCCTGATCTCCCTTTTGGAACCATTTTTCCAAATAAGAAAACTTTCTTTATTCTAAATTCTTCTAAGTGAGTTTGGTTTCACCCCTCCTAGATGTTTCTTGAAAAGGCTGTGGGTTCTGGGGTTACCTCTACCTAATTTCTTCCCTTTCTATAGAGTTCTGAATTCTTATCTGTTATGTCTCGCTTATCTTCTGCTCTAATATTTCTTTAAGTATACAGGATGCACAGCAATGTGAACCAAGGTGGTAAAACCTTGGCTCCAGCTTCTCCTGCCGGTTTAGTGTTTGTATTCATGGTGCAGATGGGGGACACTATCAGTCCTGTCTCTGGCAAGGTCAGGGACTGGGATCAAGCCTTCATATTTTGGATGTATGATATGACAAGCTTGGGGCAGGAATTACCACTGATGTTTCATGGTTGTGGAAGCACCATGATTAAATGACCAGGGTCCAAACCAGAATTGATAGTGGCTTCCAGTAGCTTTGCAGGAGGCCAGCTCCTAACAGGGCTTCAGTCTTGGGAAAGTGCATCCTCACCTCTCATTTAACTAACGAGGGAGGCTGAACATTTTCCCTCATATTTATTAGGTGTTGGCCTCATTTGTAATCGGCTCATTTTGTCTTTACTGCAGTTTTCCTGAATCGATGGACTTGTGGGTGTTATCCGCTAGGTTGTTGCTTGTCCTGACCCAGGAAGCAGACAAGTTCTACTTTTAAGAGGTGGTTTTAAAATTTTTCCATCTGAGGACTACTGATTGCAGTTTAAAAACCCTGGAGGGGAATGATCTATCCCATTCAGTATAAAACTCTATAGTTTCTCACTAGGAAAACTGAGGGAGGGAGAGTTGATGTTTTGGTTGGTAGCTCATAGAGTTGAAGTTTTGGTCTGACTGAACATGAGTAAGCAATTCACTTCTGCCTGGAAGAGCAGGAAAGATTCCTGGAGATGGAAAAGATGATAGTGGTCCTGTAGTTCAATGTTCATCATCAGAAACTTGAACAGGTTGTGGTTTCAGCCAGAGGCTCTGGAGTCAGACAGACCTGGGTATGATCTGGCTCTGACCCTAGTAGCTGGGAAACTTAGGAGAAGTGACTCAAACTCTCTGAGGCCCAGTGTTCTGATGATAAGTGTGGGTCTCATAGGTCATTGTGAGACTAGTGAATATCCATGGAGTCCTCAGCAAATACCTTGGAACACAGAATGCAGTCAGTAAGTGGCAGCTGTTGTTATTATGATTCTCACTCACGGAGAGGTTAGTTGAGCATCCATCCGGGGTCTTTGCAGAGTAGAGGACTGGATTGAATGACTTTACATACCTGGACTCTCAAATGGTACAGGGGGTAAAGCCATGCCTGCTTCTGTTTGTAGTTCACTCCACCTGAGCCTCAGTGTTTTTTATTTATGAAAATGGGTTCTTTTTTAAAGAATACTTATCTTACGGGAATTTTGTAAGACTTAAATGTGAAATTGGACCACTAGGTATGAAAATACATACACAGAGTTTTTTTTCATAACAGCAACCTCGAGGATTTTAGAAATTGTTATTTTCTCTCCCAAAAGGCCTAAGATCAGCACTGGGGCTTCTATGAGGGACCAGGAGCTAGCCAGGTGCTGACTCTCAGGAAGCCACAGGATGGCAGGGGAGGCAGAGAGTGGTGCCACATAATAGGCAGGTGCTCCGCTTGCAGAGTTAGCATGGCTGTGTTAACTGTCAGCGTCTCTTCCAGGGCCGCCATCCACACTCTTGCAGTCACAGTCCTGGGACCACATGGGGATGCTGCTGTGGCTTCTTGCCTTCTCCATTCTGGGTCTCCAGGCCTGGGGTAAGTTTTCTTTTGTTGTATCAGAAGTGCTTTTGATGAGCAAGAGAAGACCCTTTCTCAAGTTTAGTAACAGAAACCCATCCGAGTGCTTTCCCTTTGCTAGCGCGTAGGATAGCTTTGCAATTTGGAGTCCCGGTCTAGAGTTGACAGATCTTCATTCAAATCCTTGCCTGCCCTTTGTTACGGTGGTCAACAAGTCATTCGATTTCTTTGAATCTTATTGGCTCCCATGATAAAAGGATAATATTGCTCATTTCTTCGGGTTGTTTCTGAAATGTCCTTCCTCATAAGGACAGGCTGGTGGTGTCTAATCCACAATAAATCATCTCTAAAATGTCTAGTTTTGGAAGGCAGTCACAATGATCTATGTATTTCTGTTCCAAGAACTTTGTCTGGCACCAATAGGTGCTTAAGACGTGTGTGTTAGCTTAACATGTTATAACTGTTTTGGTATGTGACACCCTGCTGAGTACCCATGAGTTGATTAGTAGGTCTGCAGGTGAACCGGGAAAGGTGGCACAGCTCAGATAAGAGAGCAGGTGAGACTGCAGTGCTCCTGGAATGGAGGGAGGCTGGGGGAGGTGGGGAGATGAAGGCCTCTCTGGGCAGATGTGGGAGGCAGAGGCAGGCCAAGGCCAGAGACGTCTGCGGTTCTCCTCTGTGTGCTTCCTAGAGGACGTTAGGTGACCTGGGGAGGCTGAGAGGCTGTGCACTGTGGAGTGGGCTGTCTGGCCCAGCCTCTGCGCATGCTGGCCACATGCACTCTGAGGACCAGCCCCAGTGCTCTCCTGCAGGGGATTTCCCACAGTTCTCCTGGAATGAGACCGAAGCCAGAGGCTCGTCGCAGAGGTTTATGGGCCTGTTTGGCAGCATCTCGCAGCTCACTCACAAGAGCCGCAATGGTGAGGCGGTTTGGAAATTGGCTGGGGCTTCTTAAGTGGTCAGAAATGTTTCTCAGGACTTGACGATGTCTGCGCTGAGAGCGAATGGGGTGGGGAGGAATCTCAAGAGGTTCGTCTCCAACCACTCCCATGGATTGTCCTGACTCCTTAGGCAAAGGGGGTTCCTGGGCCTAACAAGAGAAAAATAAGAGAAACCCAGATGAAGGAAGAAAGAAGGAGGCCAGACACAATGGCTCACACCTTTAATCCCAGCACTTTGGGAGGCTGAGGCGGGTGGATCATGAGGTCAGGAGATCAAGACCATCCCGGCTAACATGCTGAAACCCTACCTCTACTAAAAACACAAAAAATTATCCAGGTGTGATGGCAGATGCCTGTAGTCCCAGCTACTCGGGAGGCTAAAGCAGTGGAATTGTTTGAGCCAGAGAGCCAGAGGCTGCAGTGAGCCGAGATGGTGCCACTGCACTCCAGCCTGGGCAATAGAGCAAGACTCCGTCTCAAAAAAAGAGACAGAGAGAGGAGAAAAAGAAAGAGAAAAAACCCATAGAGAAAAGACATGATCTCCACTCCCCAGCTCCAGCATGACAGTGTCTCCACTGTCCCTCAGAGCACTCTTGGGGCTCCCACAGTGAGGATGGAGAAAGGGAGCCTTCAGGCAGCCCGTAGCCACAGGTGGGATCTCACAGCCCTGCCACTAGGCAGTTTTTGCTTGGAAGAGAGAGGCGCAGACATCGTGTTCACAGAGCCTCCTGTGGGCTCTGGAGCACCTAGCTGAGGAGACTGACAGAACTTCCTTCAGAGAGTCATGGTTCTTAGGGGTGGGCAACACGAGAGACACAGTTGAGACCGGGGCAAATGGCAGTGAGGAAAACGCATCATCAGGCTTCCAGCTCAGAGCGCCAGGGTGGGCGGCAGGGTCAGCTGGGGTGCTTTCTGAAGGAGGAAAGCATGAAGTAGGCCGGGGGCAGTAGGGGATGGGATTTGCCCTTCAGGGAAAGACAAGGAGAGACTGTCCTGGAACAAGGTGGCACGACTCCCCAGGCTGAGTGCAGCGTGGGTCTGGGCAGTGGTTCAGCTACAGTGGAGAGGGGGAGGGGGCTGTGGGGGTAAAGGGCTCCCCCAGGGCGTCTCCCACCCTTGGGGCAGGGGGGTCCTGGGCGTGAGAGGTCAGGGCACATGGGCGGCCTGTTGGGGGAAGATGGGCGGGGCCTGCTGTGTGCCATCCTGTGGTCTTCCCTACAGATACTCCCACCATTATCCCCCGCAAGGAATGGGGGGCAAGACCGCTGGGCTGCAGTGCCCTGCTGACCCTGCCTGTGGCCTACGTCATCACAGACCAGCTGCCTGGGATGGAGTGCCAGGAGCAGAGCGTTTGCAGCCAGATGCTGCGGGGGCTGCAGTCCCATTCTGTCTACACTGCAGGCTGGTGCGATGTGGCATACAAGTAAGAGGCTGGCTAAGTCCCCGAGGCCTGCATCCAACATCACCCCTCTCAGGGTGCTTCCACTTCCCCTTCTCTGTGTGTCTGTATTTTCTGGGCTTCATTAACATTGTTCGTAGAATGAATAAAAACGGTAAAAAGGAAATGAAATAAAATCCGAATCCTCCGGGGATTGCAAAAGGGGTGACTCTAAGCCACTTATTTAAGTGGCTTTCGATTCTGGCGCTCCTGCGAAAAAGCGAGGGAGGCTATGTGTCAACGGCGGTTCCAGCTGAGCTCTTGGAACTCATGAAGACTTAGAGTTTACGGAGGTCTTCACAAATATCACCCAATTCGGCCCTCCCGGCTACTCTGAGGAAGGGGTTGGAGAAATATTCTCATCTTTATTTCACCAGTGGGAAAGTCACGGTTCAGGGAATTAAGAACTCTGCCCAGAGCGAGGAAGCGTGTACCCAGCCAGAGCTGTGTCAGGGTGCCTGCCACTGCAGCCTTTGCTCCTCCCACCTCACAGGGACTCAGACCTGGGAAGTAGTGTCCCACTCATTTCCCTGAAGGACCACTCTGACAGCAAGGCCGGGGACCCCACGGGGGGAGAGTGGACGTTGGCAATGGTGGGGAGCAGAGCCCCGTGCGAAAACAAGGGAGAGCATGAAGCAGCTGTGTCCTGTGCATTGAGTATCCTCTCTGGGGATCATCAGTGGAGGCCCCAAACATTTTCCCCCTTAGCCTCAAGAATGAGGAGACAGGTGTAGAAGGAGAGGGAAAGAGAGAGTGGGAATGGGGCTATCCCCCATGGAACTCTAAAGGCAAACATAAATGATTTCTGAATTATCCATTTTGGAAAGGAAAACCTATGTCTTCTTATTTATTTATTTTTAAACACAAAGAAGAGCAGCTGCAGGTCCTGGTTGTGGCCCGCAGCACCCCTGGGACGGCGGGGTCTTCCCTGTCTGCCCACCGTGCGTGCTGTGTCAACCACGACTCACCTGCTGCCCCTGCCACCAGCTCCTCCACCATCCTGCTGTTGTCACTGCCGTGTTGCCTGGTTTGGTCACTGTATTCTTAAGTTATTTCAGCCATTGCGTCTCTAAGTCAGGTTTCTGCAGTGACACTCTTGACAATCCTCAGTCTTTGCAATGCAGCTGACAGCAGCTGTAAAGGACTGTTCACAGTGGACTATCCACAGGCTGCTGTAGGAGTGAGCAAGGGGCCTGTGAAAGAACTGGCAGCAAAACCAGGGAAGGGGTGAACGTGCCAGGGCTCCCCACCCACTCCTCAGGCCGACGTCAGTTTAGGGTCTTTCCTTGACCTCAGGGAGGTATTCTCTCTGTGTTCAGTTTACTGTGGAAACTCATGATCTATTAAAAGCTGGATATGGCAAAGTTGTGAAAACATCAATTCTGAAGACCAATTGGAAAGTGGAGGAGAGAAATTATGAAAAGGGCAGGCGTAATAAAAGAAGTAGAATAAACAATATATATTTGATTTTAAAAATGAATGTTAAAAAGAAACATTCTGTATTTTTTCTTCTGAATGTACTTTTTTTAGCTTTTCAAAAAATTTATTTATTCTTTAAGTTCTGGGGTACATGTGCAGAATGTGCAGGGTTGTTACATAGGTACGCAGGTGCCACGGTGGTTTGCTGCATCCATCACCCCGTCATCTACATTAGGTATTTCTCTTAATGCTAGCCCTCCCCAATCCCCCCACCCCCTGCTATCCCTACCCTAGTCCCCCACCCCCCAACAGGCCCCTGTATATGATGTTCCCCTCCCTGAAAAAGGAACATTCTAAACAAATTTCTATGATAAAGAAGAGCTTAAGAAAATTCCTAAAAAGAAACTGAAGAAAAGCATCAATATAAAAGAAACTATTGAATATGGCATCACTGTTTTAGAGAATGTTCAAGTGCTTGGTCCTATAATTTAAAAACACAATATATTAATTCTTAAGCTCTTGAAAACTATTGGACTAATGTTTTCAGGTCCTTGAGTGTCACACATTCAAATTCCACTTTGAACCAAGTGAGTATTTTTCAAGTGACGTTCTGGAAAACACACATAAGCTAAGTCACAACAAAAATTAAAACATATTCCCGTGTCTCTTGGAGGTTTAAAACTGGTTATTCTGCCCTCCCGTTGTTATGGTATTGGGACATAGTACTTATTTATGAGCGTCCAGAACCCCTTTCCCTTTTGAGGATCAGTGAGAGGTTTTCATTGATGGGCATTTGCCAGTCAACTCATTATTTCCTTCTTGGCAGCTTCCTGGTTGGGGATGATGGCAGGGTGTACGAAGGTGTTGGCTGGAACATCCAAGGCTTGCACGCCCAGGGCTACAACAACATCTCCCTGGGCATCGCCTTCTTTGGCAGTAAGAGAGGTAAGGGTCACTCCCCGCGGACCCTGTGCTGGAGAGCTGCGTACAGTCTCCTCCACTCCCCAGGCTCCACACTCACCTTTTCATCCTACATCATACTTATTTTCCCTGATGATCGCCCTTCTCTTGAAGTTCTTTTCTGCTTTGGATTCTGTGACATGCATACTTCTTGTCCTCTTCCTCTTTACGGGTCTGCACTCCTGTGATATTGCTGACGCCAGCACGGACATTGCTTGAGCTCACAGTTACTGCCATCACTTCTGTAGTCTGAGGTTGTCTGACATAGATGCTGTTACTGCCAGAGGCAGAGAAGCCTGGCTCCTCTCTTCTTCCAGTTTCTTCCGTTGGTAGAAACGGACCAGAAGGCAGCAGGCAAGGAAATCTGGAGCTATAACTTGCAGGCTTCTAGCCCCCAGAAAAACAGAGGAAAGCACAGAACAGGGATCGAGCTGAGAAACAATACATATGGAACCAGCACCTGCTAGCATCCTCATCTGACAGCTGGGGCTAGGTAACAGTGTTTCTCTCAGAGGTTTTCTGTGAGAATTATGAGTTAACAGATATACAGAGTCTACTGCATACCCGATCAGGGGAGATCTGAGTAAACCCTGGTTGCCTTTTCTCCTGTGCTAGCGCATACCTAACTCAGTCAGGTGGGCCTTCCCTGCATGTATTTTTCACTGCCTTCCAGCTCTTTGGCCTAGCGATGGAGTGGATAAAGTCTTAGTTTGGCTCTTGGAAGATATTGTCAACGCTGGCTGCCGAGAGATCTCGGTAATTTCTTGCCTCTTAGGCCCTCTGTTCTGGCAACTGGGCCAGTTTCCTCTCTTTCAATCCAGTTATTCAGGCTCAAGTGGTCATACCATCCTCCCTCCACTGTCTAGTCCAGGTGGAGTTTCTTACTGACAGTTCTGTGCTCCTTGTTAAGGCAGCAGTCCCAGCCCCGCTGCCTTCTCAGCCGCAGAGGGTCTGATCTCCTATGCCATCCAGAAGGGTCACCTGTCACCCAGGTATATTCAGCCACTTCTTCTGAAAGAAGAGATCTGCCTGGACCCTCAACAACCAGTGATGCCCAGGAAAGGTAAGACCCTCCATGCCACCTCACCTCCTTGTTGCCACCCAGCCATGTTTGGGAGTGCTTTTTGCCTATTAAACTCCATGAGATAATGGGACCAAGAACATCTCATACCTTGAGAGCTGGAAAATTCTGAGAGGGCATCTTCCTGGCATCCTCTCCATCCCATCAGAACGATATAGCCACGGTCTTTTTCTTAACAAATACATATGTACACAGATGTTCACTCAATCAACAGATAATTGCTGCATAGCAGGCACTGCTTTAAGTACTGAGCATACGGCTGTGAACAAAACAGATGAAACTCTTCACCTTCAGGAAGCTTGCACTTCAATGAGAAAAGACAGAAAATGAACAAAACAAGAAGTAAATACATATGATGTTAGATGGCATAAAGGCTATGGAAAAAACAGAGTGGGAATGGAGTGGGGTAAACCTGTATACATATTTGTGTCTATTATGTGGGGACATGAAAACACACATAAACACACATACCTTTCTAGACACAAAAACCAGCCAAACTCCAGCACAACCGCAGCTCAGAGAAGAACTTGCATTCACAGATGATGCTGACATCAGAGTGCATATAACAAAAAGCTGAGTAAGAAAAAGAATGCACTATTTTGAAGCAAATAAACAGCATCCTAAAAGTAGTCAAATTAATAAGCACGTTCGCTACTGTGGACCTTTACTTTGGATCAATGATATTTTTTAAATTAGCTTTTTAAAATTGCAAATCTCTAAATAAAATGTTTCTTGCTTTTGGACAGCCACTATCTTCAATAGTGATAATTCCTTAATATTTGTACAGTTCTTTCTAGATTTCAAGTTGTTTCCACAGATATATGTGATCAGTTCCGAGAGTCCACTGACTTCTGCATAGTGGCCCTGTGACGTAAGCACACACACCTGCACATGTGTCTGCAATGCATGGTCTTTGGAAGACAACGACCATGCCTATGTATAACCCACCGTCCTTCCCCTTCCGCTTGTACACTGATTTCTGTGGGTATCGGGCCTGTAGATTTTTGCCCCAGCCCCTTGGTTCCAGCCATCTGACCCAGAAAATTTCCATCTGGACTTCCCCAGAATCCCACAGACGATCTTACATTAGGATGTGCCTGTGGGTGCTGGAGGCCTGGGAGAAGCTGAGGAATGATCCAGCCCGTAGTTAAGTGATTGCTCACAGGGAAGCAAAAGCAAATTCCTGTTTTCTTGGCTTTTCATCTTACCACAGTTTGTCCCAACATCATCAAAAGATCTGCTTGGGAAGCCAGAGAGACACACTGCCCTAAAATGAACCTCCCAGCCAAATATGTTATCATCATCCACACTGCCGGCACAAGCTGCCCTGTGCCCACAGACTGCCAGACTGTCGTCCGAAACACACAGTCCTTTCACATGGACACACGGAACTTTTGTGACATCGGCTATCAGTAAGTGGGATCAACTCGAAGACAACCCTCTTTTTCTTCAGGATTGTAGGAGGGAAGGCTGTGAGAGGGAGCCGATGTTTCCTGAGCCCCTCCTTTGGGCTGGGTGCTTTCCATAAGGCAACACATTTTATGTTTGCAAGGCTGGGCTGAGGATCATCAGAGCATAGCTAACGGTTAGTTACCTTGCTTGGGCATATCTCTATATGTTGGGAAGATTCTGAAGAGAAGCCATTAGAAGCCTAGTGATAAAGCAAGACTGTGATACCCTCAGGAAAGGATGTGAAGGGTTGTGCCTTTTTTTTTTTTTCTGTTGAATTTTTTTTAAAAAATATATATATTTTATTGCGTTTTAGGTTTTGGGGTACATGTGAAGAACATGCAAGATTGTTGTACATACATGGCAGTGTGGTTTGCTGCCTTCCTCCCCATCACCTATATC